TAAAATGTATCAACTTAAACAACGTGAACCACCACCAAGGTAGATCAACTGTGTACCCTAGATTGCCAACGTAGAGAATCACACATGCCCTACATTAGTTAGATTTAGTAGCATAGGTTAGGTTACTAGGTACCCTAGTTAATGATAAGGATTAGGAAATATAAAACAAACAGGCTTTACCATCTATGGCTATATAATGTCCATAGGATGAAGTAACTTATAGTCACTAAAGAAGGCACTTTTAGCCATCTTTACTTAAGAAACTCTTCACTTATTATTGATATGATACTGAGTGGAGATTTTTGGTTATAAGACTAGCTTATAGTTGAAGGATACTAATATCCCCGAGATGATGAAAAGCCATAGGCATCTTATTTAGGGGCATTATGCCCAAATTTTAGGTTGGTTTACTTCTCTCGAGAAACATTCTCATAGTTAACTATACCTCCTTAGTTTTGGGATCTTTCAAACACTTCAAAAAGGCAATTTTTTAAACTCAGTCCTTCCCATCAACCTTTTCAAACTAAACTCATCCAAATCTTAAATCCCTATAATTTTACCCTATTTTCAACGAGGCTCAATATTTTCCAACAATCAAAACTTTGAGATAAACAATCTCCCATGTTGGTTAAATCCTTTCCTGGGCCTTTACACGACACTCCAATGTTGGATTATAAGTAACAACCTTTAAGCTCAATGCTTCCAAAATTCTGAACTTGAATGCATTCATCATCATTGAAATTCAATTTTTGATTTGTCCAACCTTAAAATATGAATAATATAAGTTAATATTTTAATAGAGTTTGTTTTCTAAATTTTACAACTCTAGAGACGTAATTAACAATAAGGACTTTCCCTTGTAGGGATATTAGACCTCAAAATAAAATGAACATTATCATGCACTCATAAGATAGAGGAATAATCTCTGGTTCCATAGACCCATAATTCTTAAAGATTTTCATCATTCAACTCATTAGATTTATTTCAATATAGCTTCCTCCCCTCATAGTGGTATATTATTCTTCAAATATCATATCCAATCCTTTAGATAGAAATCTTTCAATATATGTGATGGATACACTAAAAAAAACTCCACCATAGAATAAATCAGTTCGCTTATGCATGTTATATGTGGAATCATAGGTGTCACCATTTTAGCAATTATGGAGTGAGGATTTTGGCATGGGAAGCCTTACGGACCTTGTTCTTCTTGCCCTGAGAAGCATCCTCCACCTCCCGCTTGACTCCATGGTGTTAGAAGCAGCCCAATCAGTTGTAGTCATTCGCCTATATTTCTCAGGGCAAAGAACCACATTAACGGTTTTCAGATTAAAGTACTGATGAATCAAAAGTAGTTTTCCTTTAACCGTAACCACTTCCACTAGTTTCCTTTTTCGTACCTTCCCTTTGAACGTGCAGGAGAGCCTGCAGTCGAAATGATTTTGATCTCCCAACCTTTGGGAGAAGTGCCTATACAAAATTGAAGCTTCCAATCCTTGATCTTGTTTTCCAACTCGAGTAGGTTGAACTTATCGTCGTATATAAACTGAGCATAACCATCATGCATTACCCGAAATGAGATAAATTCTCGGTAGGAAGACAAAAAGAATAAATTTTTCATAGAGAACTTCGTTAATTAGAGGACCCTTGATCGATTATGAAGGATGACATAAGTCAGGATTGCAGCGATGGAGTTTAGCAACACCTTGGCAAGAATAACCCCATAATGGCTGAATATGACTCACAACTCTCAGTAGAGAGACAACTTCAAATCGGAGCAAAATTGGTTCATGTTAAAGATGAGATATGAGTAGTAAAGAGCATTCTCTCGATCATCCTATTCAACGGCTCGAAGCTTGATGGCAATATTATAGACACAAATCTCTTCTCACAGAGTCACCTCCACCAGAGTCATTCTTGATTAGTTGGTTGCACTGACCAAACCAAAGAGTATGGGAACGTACTTAAGAGCCATAAGAACACAAGAAACAGAAATCCCAAAAAAAAAAGTGGAGAAAAATATGGAGAAAGGGGGTAGAAGCGTAGTGTTAGCCAAAACTTTAAACTATATATATAAGGTAACAAAGTAAGTAGAACAGTCACACGAGACTAAAATGAAGTTGAACAGTAATTTCAAAAACACACTGACAAAAATATCACATCAATAGAGAATTTAAGAAGAAAAAATAAATTTTATTTCAAAAATGAGCATTGTAAATTAAGCTCAAAAAATCAATAGCAGAGAATATTTTACAAGAGGATCGTCTGTCACATCGGTCGAGACATAGGCATACCAATCCAAACTCTTATACAAAAATTTGCCCACAAGCTTGAACTCAATTGCTCGAACTATCTTGGTTTGAGCCCAAAGCATGAGGGATGAATCCTCAATGTTCAAAAGTTTTAGACAAAGAGTGGGCATCTCCTCCTTCAATCGCTCCATTTTCTTTATACAAGCCAACAACTCATGTACCTCCTCCTCTCATTGAATCTCCTCCCAAGAGAAGGAGCTTTTGATTTCTTCTAGGGGGTGAGTGAGCGACCCAGCAGACATTTGGCATCCATCAGTTGCTTCTCTAAGAGCCACACAAGGACTGTACGAGTGATCAATCTTACCATCTTTGCTTGAGACTCGATCGTTCTTGACTGATGCATGTGGAATTTTTGTTGGCACCACGACCAAATTTTCACCAACATTTGCCTAAGGCGAGTCATCATCCAAATCGATCGGTTTTGTTGCATCAAAGATATTGTAAGAAAAATCAAAGGAGCAAGACTGAGGTTCCTCATACCAAGGAGACAATCCCACACAGATGATGTAAACGAGAAGACAGCATCACCAAGTGGCGAGAGAGCATCTGCAGCCTCTTGCATCTTGGGTGGTGGAGAACATGAGCATCCACCTACATGGTATATTTAATAAGCAATTATTGACCCGCGACAGGAAGTTGAACTGAAGAACCAATGGTTGGGCCACTTAATCCACCCGTCTTCCACCTGAGCATTCTATCGCTGACGTTATAGGAACAAATCAGATGACCACACCTGATCTCGTGGTTCAGCTGTCATCTTTTATTAACAACGGTCTTTTTCATCTTTTCACCTTCAAGACAAGACCGCACTTTAGTTCCCCAAAAGCGGCAACAAGCACATCCCTATCGAGGGGATCAATTTCAAGAGCCCGCACATTCTCTATGATGGTGCATGGAATACGAAACAAAGATGGAATGTAAAAGATCTCATCATGCCCTTTTCATAAGAACTAAGGGTATGAAAATCATGAGTTTAGTTATTGCTTCATTTATTAAGAATAAATGATATATGATTCTACATTAAATTCTCTTATTCTTATTACAGAAACGCTTTCAACAAATAAGACAATTGAGAAACTAATATACATGATATTTTACTGCTCATTTCTCCTCTATCACTATATATCTCTCCTTTATTACGCTCAAACCATTGAGGTGTGATTCACGAACACTAAAGATTCAACAATAAAAATTATGTTTTATGTTCCTAAATGCCCCTTTTTATTTTTTTACATTTAATAGAAGCTAATAGCTATCGAAAACCATTGTTTACTTTTTAAGATATTACTTTTCTTGAAGAGAAAGGAAACACGAATTGACGTACCAATATCAACTGACCGAACTAATTTTATTCTGCTTATAGCATCGAAAAGGTGGGAGAATAGCACAATTGGAGTCGGGCACAATAACAAAGAAGAGGCGGCTCAACAAGTCTAAGGGCGCGGGCAAAAAGCTGCTTTGCTCGCGACGAGTATAATTCTCACTAACTAATATTAATAATACTTCAAATATCTTAATTTTTTAACATATTAATATTGCCTAAGTTATTAAAATTAATAAGGTTAATGATATTATTTTAAGAAAATATATAAATTTACATTATTTCTAATTGAGATTTATATTCACCCTACAATTCTTATATATTTTTAAATAACAACAAAAACATAATTAATGCTATTTTTTAAACTAAAAACAACATTTTATACAGATTTTAATATTATTATGACACTAAAATATCATCTAACTATTTAAATTTAAGTATAAATATAGAAATAAAAAAATTACCATACAAACTCCTATTTTTAATTATTTAGCTAAATAAGAATGCATTGCGATAATTAATACTTTAATAGATTTTCAAAAAAAAAAAAAAACTATTCCTTCTTTTTAGAAGAAAATTTTGCACAATCTCTAAAAGATGCATCTTGTGCTATAAATATATTGAATATTTATAATGTACCGCAAACAGAAAAAAAAATTCTAGGTATGATCCAAACAGTAAGTCCTAGAACATTAGCTGGGCTGCAGTATCACAGCATAGCAATTCCATTTGACCTCAATGAAATGAAATTTAAAAAAAAAAATACTGAAAGGTATTTAACAGAAATGCTTTTCATACATTCACATCAAGAAAAAAACATAAGGTCAGAAAAATATTTTACCAAAATGCTCCGCAGGCTACCAACAATCGATCCATACAAGTAGTGGTGTAAACAAGCTGAAGCTCGTGTTCGGCTCCTTTATATTTCAAGCTCAAAAAGTGTCTTCATGTTCGGCTCGTTTGCTTAACTAGCCGAACACAAGCTGTTCACAAACAAAGAATCATTTTAACAACGCTAATCATGTAGTCATAAGACAACAAGGATTTAAACAAGATTTAAAAATTATTATGTATATTAAAACAGCATTTGAATCTAATTTAATATTTTTTATTCTATTTTCTTAAACAATATTTTAATTGGTTATAAATCTTTGTAGCCTTGTAGTCAATTAGATTTTCTTAAAATACTACTTAATATATAAACTTGATGAGTAGTATTTCGAGCCAAAACGAGCCGAACACGAACGAACACATCTTTGTCCGTGTTCGGCTTGTTAACTTATCGAACGAAATTAACGAGCCAAACACGAGCTTTTTAACGAGTCGAACATGAGCTGTTTGCAAACAACGAGTCGTTTTAACAGCCCTTCATACAAGCTTTATTCCAAGTGCTGGGCGCCTGTTCATTGCGTTCATCTTTTAATTTCAAGCGTCACACCAAACAGAAATACAAGCGCAAAACAGAAAATAAAGGAACCCAGTTGAAGCTACCGCTTGCATATATATATATATATATAGAAAATATAAACCTAACAAAAAAAAATTCTCAAGAGAAGAACCATCTCTAGCTGGATCCATGGTGTGTATCATTTAATATAGCGCAGCTTGAGCCACCAGATCTGCATAGTCCTCGGAGACGTAAGACTTCACCTTCATAATAGCCTTTCCTCCCTTCTGAAGTGGAGTTTCGTATTTCTTCACCCCGATCACAGTTGCTAGGCCTGCAGCAGAAGCAAAATGTTTGCCGGTCAATTCTCATGAATGAGAATAGGGAAGAAGATGATAATTGCTCTGATCTAAATCTTGTAATTAACCCAAAATCTAAATTGTTTTGAGAAAAAAATGCTTTTGAATCACAGCCATCCGACATGAATTCAACAGTTTAGGATGGGATGCTCCGCGGTTCACCCGCAAGAAAAATTTGCAAATTATATAAATCCATCCGTGAGAATAATAGCATATGCATATAACAATGCAATCCTTTATTTAGAGGCTGTAGGTTGCAAGCATTTGAAACAACAACAACAAAGCCGTAATCCCACTACTTGGGGGCGGCTACATGAATCCTTTTTCTCCATTGCGTCCAATTTAGTGATTGCAAGCATTAGAAACGTAGTAAAAAATTCAAAATGATTCTTGAACTATTTATTGGGAAGCATTTTAATCCCAAATTATTTAATAGGTCCAATTTAGCCCTTATTCCTCAAAGTTAATATAAAATAATCTCTTACTAATCAAATCAAATTCAAAACAATCAAACATAAAAACTACTGCAAACCATACATGAGAAATCAACAACAATAACAACAAAGCCTTAATATCACTAAGTGGGGCCTCAAATACATCAATAACAAATCTTTTTATCTAAAATAAATTGAAGTGTTATGATATTTTGAGATTTGGTTTAAAAAGGTGAAATCCAAAATTTTAAGAGATTGCTCAAAATTAGGGGTGTGAATGAGTGGAGTCAAGATCGAGTCATCCTCAGCTTGAGCTTGCACTTGATTAATTAATCGAGCTCGAACTTAAGTCTACGAATTTGAACCGTAAGCCGACTCATTTATTAAAAGAGAGGAAAATAATACTAATTGCTTGATATAAAATATAATAATTATTTTTATTTATTTTTAGTGATTAAAATATATAAAATGTAGAATTACTTTTATATATTTTTAATAATTAAAAGTGTCTTAAAATTTAATTCATTTTAAGTATATTTTATATTAATTTGTCTTAAACGATCCGACTAGAACTAAAGAGCCAAAGTCGGTTGGATTACGAGCTCAGTTCAGGAGCCACATAGAGAGCAGAGCTTGAACCAGCCCACAAGTCAGCTTAACTCAATTACACCCCTACTCCAAATGACATTTTTATGTATGACTATTTTTAATTAATTTAAAATTTGCCTAAGTCAGAATGATATTCGATAACTTGAAATGTTTCTCTCTGCCATTATTCAAACTGAATATTTTCCCACAAAAGGAAGACCTCAACATTATCCCTCTCCCAACTATGCAATTTATATCATTGTGGCTTACAATAAGAACATCCTTGATATGCTAAAAACTAAATATGCTAAAACAACATTAAATCGCTAAGCTCGGAAAAAGCTAAAATTGCCACAGTGGAGATAGCACTTAACTTCAAATAAATGAATTGTTAAATTTTCATTCCAATCATAGCAAAGAACTTAAGATATACGAATTAAGACTTTGTACCACTAGATTTGTTTAGTTATGACCCTCAGAAAGCAAAGAACTTAAGGCACATGAATCAAAGCTTTGTACCGCTAAATATGTCTCTCTATGGCCCCGAATTGCAATCTATGTGTTTTACTATAAGATCGCCATCCCCTAATTACTTTTCCCTAATTTATTAATGTATTTCCTATTTTATAATGCCTCCGGGAGTTATATATATTCCTTCAATCTTGTACAAAAATGAGAATGGGATTTTTTAGGCTTTTTTCGCATTTAATTATTTTTTACATGGTATCAAAGCAAGATTAGGGTGTTCCGTCCAAAGTGTATTCTTATTATCTAATAATAATAGGATTTCCAATTTCAACTTTATCCCTATTGTCAAATCTATTTCTATTCACTATTTCTTGGTTTTTAATTTTCCTTTAAAAGAATCGATGAGGGCTAATGGTGAAAATCATATCAATGAAAACTCTATGTATTTCAAGTATCTTATCGTTTGAACGGGAAAAAATGACGATACCAAATTGTGAAAACCTTTCTAAAAGAAAATTGAAAGATTCTTATGGCTCTACCTCTGAAGACCAAGGACCCAAAGTTTCTACTTTGGGAAGAAACTAATTCCATGATCATGGTTATGAAACACCACACTACTGACGATCAATGGACCTTTATATTTCTCTCCTCAAAAGAGATTTGGGATGCAGTAAAATAAACATACTCAACTGAAAGATGATGCACTCGTCCATGAAATTAGAACAACACTCGCCACTACCAAATAAGGTAGTCTTCTTATCATTAAATTCTTTAGCTCCATAAAAGTTTACTGGTTAAAATTAGACTACTCCCAATGTCTCAAGATATCTTACTATGAGGATGTGGTGAACCTTACAAAATTCATCAAGCAAGAATCTTTGAGTTTTGGCAAAACTGAATAATGAATTTCACAAAACTCGAACATAAATCTCAAGGAGAGAGAATCTCCCTGCTATGAACAAAGTATCTACCAGACAATTTCCGAGTTTTCTGAGTCACAAGGTAAAGGCTTTCTATAACGAAACATTCTCCAAAAAAAGGGCAAATCTTTATTTTAAAGAAAATCTCTGGTGTAGTTATTGTAAAGAATAGGCACATCAAAAACGAATGCTAGAAACTTCACAAAAAGCTCGAAGATTATGAAAGTATATACAAAAATAAAAGAAGGCAAACATGCCTGATTGAGTTAGAAAGACTCTATTCAGAAGAAAGAATTTTCTCAATTCTCTAGAAAAATCATCAAGATCTTGCTCTCTTGCATAGAATGGTATGATTTCTAATTCTTATGCTCTTAGTGTTTCTAATAGTTCCCTCCTTCATGGATTCTAGATTCAAGGGGCAACCACCACATGATAAAACTTGCCAAAATATTTCAAACCTACCAACCCTATCCAAGCAAAAGAAAAAAAAATACAAATGGATCTTTAACAATTGTTGCAGGATAGTAAGGCATCTTAATTTTTTCCAACTTACCTTCAATAACGAATTACATGTCCCACAACTTATGGACTTATAGCTAACCTTCTATTTATTTACAAATTTATTAAAGACTGTAATTGCAAAATCATTTTTTTTAGCGATTGTGTTTTTTTAAAATCTCACTACGAAAAAAATTGGACAAGCTAAAGAAAATAATGGGCAATAACTTCTTGTGAATTGAGGTCAACTATTATACTCACTCACCTCTCATATCGCTGACATCCTTCTTTAGAAACCTTCAATATATATTTGTTTCTCTTTCATAAATAAAAACATTAAAAATAGTTATTGTGAAACTTACGAAATTTTTAAACATCATCATGTTTTCTTTCCTTATAATAGCTCAGATCTTCTAATCGTTTTATATTAATTCATTATGATATTTGGATTTCCTTTAAAATCTACAATATCTATGAAACCCCTAGTTTTAGTACATTTATTAATGACTGCACTCAGCAGAAATATGATATTAGCACCATACTCCCTATATTTACTATCATAATAAAAAATCAATTTAACTCTAACATCAATTTTTTTCCAAACTGCAATCCTCATGAATATTTTAATTAAATATAAATATCATTTTACAAAAAAAAAAGTATTATTCACGAATCTTTTTGCCCTAACAATCCACAACAAGATGGAGAGATAAAACAAAATTGCCTACTTTTGTGGTAACAAGAACACTTCTTCTGCACAATCAAATACCAAAATAATATTGGGGAGAAGTTGTTCTAACAATACAACTACCTATTTAATCAACAAAATATCCTTTAAGATTAATTGATTACAAAAGTCCACTAAATGATTTGATAGAATTTTTTACTACAAATAATTTCTCAAAGATTCCTCTAAAAATTTTTGTATGCATTGTTGATGTCATCATCAAAAACAACATGGAGGTAAATTCTCAAGAGCTTTTAAGTGTGTATTCATCAATTTATTAATGACACTTGTGCACCCTGATCAAGTGTCAACATCCAAAATAAAATATTTATTTATTTCAATGAATGTTACATTTGATGAAACACATTACTTCTTCACTCAAACTCATCTTCAGGAGGGAAGTTCGATCTTAAAGATAAACTAGATGTATTATTCATCTTTGATATTTATGTACAACAAAATCCTTCATATACAAATCTTTACCAATAATCCCCCTTCAAGTCTATACAAGAAGGAACAAGCACAATTTAGATCTTTAGCAAGTCCAATGCTCAAAACCTTTACAACTCACTACTAGTCATTTATATCATATTTCTCAACACATCTCATTTCATAAATTCTCTACATCTTATAAAATCATTTTAACCAACATCACTATCAATCATATTTTATTCCACAAACTCTATTTGAAGCACTTGAAATATAAAAATGGAGTAAAGCCATAGGAGGAAAGATGAATGCCTTAGAAAAAAATCATACAAGACTAATCATTGAATTACTAGTAGGAAAGACGATAGCAGAATGCAAATAAATTTTATCATCAAATAAAAAGAAAATTGGAGCCTAGAAAAAGTATAAAAAAAGATTAGTAGAAAAAAAATTTACCTAATCATATGAGATTGATTATCAATAAGTTTTTGCCCATGTTGCAAAAATAAATATTATTCGCATCTTAATATCAGTAGCAACAAATTATAGATGGCATATACGACGAGATGATGTAAAAAATGCTTTCATTCATCGTGACATCAAAGAAGAGCTCTATATAAATCCATCACCAAGATTTGATAGCTTAGCCTGGCAGATTTATAAAAAAATATGGAATGAGATAGACACATAGTCAAAAGGTCGAACTTTCTTCATAAATCACTCGATAATAAAATATCAACCCTTATTGTGTATGTGGTTGATATGATTATTTTGGGAGAAGACAATCAAGAGAAAGTTCTCAGGAAAAAAAAGTTCTTAAAAAAAATTAAAGAGTTCGGAAAACTCAAATACTTCTTGGGAATAGAAGTAGCTTAATCTAAATATGAGATATTTCTCCAACAAAAATATATTATGGATATGCTGAAAGATGCCACGATAGCAAATTGCAAATAGTGTGAAATTCCAGCTGAACGAGGACCAAAAAGGGAGCTTGATGACGGAGCTGATGTAGTTACAGGACAATATCAAATGTTAGTAAAAAAATTAATCCACTTATCTCACACTCGTTCAAACAACACATTCACAATGATTCTAAATAATAAATTCAAGCATAAACTTAAAGAGCTACACCTTCAAGCAGCTTATAGAATCTTCGAATATCTCAAATAAAGCCTAGAGAAAAAATTATATGAAAAATATAATACCCTAAAAGTTTAAGGATTCACAAATGCTAACTATGCTTAATCACCGATGGATAGAAGGTCTACTTTAGGGTATTGTGCATTCTTAGGAGGGAAACTCATAACTTGAACAAGCAAAAAACAACCTGTTATTCCAAGCTTAAGTGCGGAAACTGACTTTAAAGTCATTGCTCGATGGATTTGAGAGTTTTTATGAGTTAAAATTATATAAGATAATTTAAAAATCAAATGAAACGAGCATATATAAAAATATTGAGATAACAAATCGGTCATCAATATGGCACACAATCCTGTACAACATGAACATACCAAATATATTGAGGTTAATTGGCACTTTATAAAAGAGAAATCATAAAGTAGTCTGATTTGTACTCTATATATAACCACAAAAAATCAACTAACAAAATATTGCCAAGAAACTTTGCAGTCCAATATTTAAGAATATCATAAGCAAACTTGGAATGATAGATCCCAACCATCCATTTTAAGAAGCGTTGAATTCTGCTCCAATAACAGTAAAGAACTTGGATTAGGGGCTTTATATTGTTGCATTTCTTTACTTATGAATCTCAGATAGTAAGGAACTTAATGTACACGGATCAACGCTCTGTACCATTAGATATGACTCTTTTGACCCTCTGATTACAATCTGTGTACTTTTTTGTAGGATTGTCGACCTCTAATTATTTTTTGCTTATTTTTTATATATTCCAATTTTGTAACGACTCTGGGAGTTCAAATATATACCTCCCCTCTTATACAAAAAATATGAATGAGATTCTCAAGAGTTTTTTCCCACTACTTATTTGCTACATAAATCGATTAACTACTTCTATCTCCAAAAACAAAATTAGATACTAATTTCAAAATAATAAAATTAGGGCCTCATACTAAGAAAAACACTGATCAAGATCATTTCTTTTTCATCCGGCCCATTAAATGTCAAAAATTTAAAAAAAACATCGTAAAGGACGTAAGATCTTAAAATTTTATACTTCAACATGCATCGTGTGGAAGCCGCTCGAAAGTGGTGCCACTTTTTTCCTGAGCTCATGAGGTGCCAATGGACCAGTATCTCAATATTTTTTAGACTAAAGTGTGAAGATAATCGCCCAACCACTTATATTGGGCCATTTTAGTTTTAGAGTCTATAAATATGTCAAATTAGTTCACAAACTCTTTAATAAGGGTTGAAATAAACCTCAGTGAGAATATTTCAGCCCATATTAAACAGTGTGGGGACTACATTGATAATTTTATAATCTATGAGATTAAAAAGTATTTTTTAAATTATGAATCTCGAATAGTAAAAAACTTAAGGCATACGGATCAACGCTCTGTACCATTAGATATGACTCTTATGACCCTCTGATTACAATCCGTTTACTTTTTTGTAGGATCGTTGACCTCTAATTATTTTTTGCTCCTTTTTTATATATTCCAGTTTTGTAACAACTCTGGGAGTTGTACATATACCTCCCCTCTTATAAAAAAAATATGAATGAGATTCTCAAGAGTTTTTTTCCCACTACTTATTTTCTACATAAATTGATTACCTATTTCTATCTTCAAAAACAAAATTAGATGGTAATTTCAAAATAATAAAATTAGGGCCTCATACTAAGAAAAACACTAATCAAGATCATTGCCTTTTCATCCGACCCATTAAGTGTAAAAAATAAAAAAATAATAAAATCATCGTAAAGGACGTAAGACCTTAAAATTTTACACTTCAACATACATCGTGTGGAAACCGCTCAAAAGTGGCGCCACTCTTTTCCTAAGCTCGTGAGGTGTCATTGGACCAATATCTCAATATTGTTTAGACAAAAGTGTGAAGATATTCCCCCAACTACTTGCATTGAGCCATTTTAGTATTAGAGTCTATAACAATATCAAATTAGTTCACAGACTCTTTAATAAGGGCTGAAATAATCCTCGGTGAGAATATTTCAGCCCATATTAAAGAGAGTGGGGACTACATTGATAATTTTATAATCTATGAGATCAACGAGCGGAGAGACCATTTTGACAATTTTCTTGTATTGTTTAAGAGTGCATTGTATTCCTAAAAATCGTTGAGTAAATACCCCCGGAAATTCAAATAGAGTGACCTATTCTTCTGTGTAGCTTCAATGTCAGTTTATGTTTGTATGAAATAAAAGAAAAGCTAATGAATAGTTCATAATGAACTTGGAAAAACCAATTCAAGGCTCTCCACTCTATTTCCATATCGATGCTCACATTCTCCAAATCCAAAAATGGCCTGTTAAAGAAGTCTCATGATGATTAATTTTTCTTGGTGGTTAAAACATCCACATGAACACAAAAACCTCATCAAGCAATAATTTGGAAACTAAGTGGAAAATATATAGTTGAGTGGTTAATTTTTTAAGGGATGCATAATCAAAGTGATAAATATCAATCCAAACTTATGGGAACAATACTCACTGTCATGTATTCGACCATATAAGAATCTCTCGCCACACCAATGCTGCAAGGGCCTCATTCTAATTCTCGTGCTCCGCCGCACTCCAGATTGCCAATCAGAGCCTGCACCTAAAGATACAAGAAACCCAGATCAAGACCATCTTACACAAACAAACGGTTTCCAATTGTTGAAACATATGGTAGGGCATGCAAAAAACAAAACCTGCAAGGCTTTTTCTTCTCAAAATTGACTTTTGCTTCTTTTGTCTGCGTGCAGGTTCCTTTCTTTCCAGTTCTCTGCTTGAAGATCCTCCTGCGGCTTCTGAGTGTCCCTGACTCTAAATATTCAAAAAGGTTCATAATTAAATGCAAATTCAATATATAATTTTTTGAGAAACTAGAGCAGCCAAGATGATGCCATGGATTGTAGTATCGATAAAAAAAATTCAAGTTTATAAATATTTGGTACTGCACCCAACCAATAGTAAAAAGTTGTCACTAGGTATAAAACAAACATGTACCACCTGATTGATATCAAGCAAGGCCACAGAAATTTTTTACATGAGACAAAGGGGCCACACCCAATTTAAAAATAAACTTTATTCCTGAGTGCAAAAGACAAATACTAAATCCTGAATCTAGTCAAGCAGCCTTCAAGAATTAGTACTTCTAAACGAATCTATGCATTTGTTCTCTCTTTAAGAATTGCACGATATAATTTTTATTTTCTCCCATGGAAAAAAAACATTATGTAATCTCTTGGCTAGGACTAGTAAGCTCATAAGCCACAAATTTCCAGTACACATGTATTCCAACTCTTTCAGAAAATGTATCAAATTATAATCTATATGTTTAATCAAAAAATAAAGAGATAAAGAAGCCTCAGAAGCGCAAATTGTCAATATCAAAAACAAAAGAAAAATAGTTGTTTCAAATTTTGAGATACACACACAAAACGTGTACAACATAACAAAGATAACAGTGCTAACACAACCTCAGCAAGAATAAGCTGACAAATTCAAGGCAGTGTTGACACAACCCATCTTGCACATGATGATTAGGTTTCTTCTTACAAAAATTTAGATTCCTTCTTTCAAGGCTATGTTTAAGTCACTTTGATTCATGTCACCCAACACATTAGGTAAGTGCAATAAAAATGCAATTTTACTCTCTTATCACAAAAAACACACATTGCACCTATAATTTTTGTGAGCTCCTAAAATTCATGCCTCAACCACGCTCAACGACATGTTTTTATTGTAAGTTCAAGAATCAAATTTTTAGAAGGCAAATTAGGTTTGCATATAAGACACTATCCAAAGAGTTTGCCCTCATTTTGGGAGGATTTTAGATCTGAAGTTTGAGGTTTTCAGTAAGCTCAACTACAAACGAACCGAGCGGAGTCGAACTGGTTGTGTTCAATGTTGACATGTTTGTTTGAGCAGAAATAAAATATAGAAATGTCTTTTTTAATTAATGTCATGATAACTCATCAAGGGACATCCTATTTTACCAACTTTATTCCTAGGGACATGTAGGATCAAACATTAAAAAAATGAAACTTATGACCCTACCCCATCATCAGAATGCCTAGTAAAGAAAGTTCATACATTTTGATGAGTCTATATATAAAAAAGTTTGTAAATTTAAAAATAATTACATGCAACTCCAGGCAACACGTTTAAAATCTTATTTTTTTATTCAAATGACATTTTTTTATGGAAAGTTCACTAGTCATCACATTTTTCGAAGCAAATGTCGGCGTTCTAATGCATTTGCATGATTTTTCAGACATTTAATTGAATTAAAATTTTCCACGTGATATTTTTTGAGGCAATTTGTTTTTTGCAGACAAACAATATTTTGAATTATTTCAAGTGGATTTTATGCCTTTCTCATTGGGCAATGTGACAAACAATGTAGACAATTTTCTAAGGCAATTTCAATGTTCAATCTTGTTGGTGAAGTTTTGTGAAATAAACAATGGCTAGTTGATTTTGGTTGAGGTCAGCATAGTTCAAACCCGATCTATGCAGCATTGCATCAGTCGTTTGCCACTTTCACTATGCTCAATCACAATTGAAACTGAGTACTTATGGAGGTCAGCATCTATATCATATACCAAAGTTGTGAATGTTTACTCAAATATGAAAGTTTCATTTAGAGAGAACAAATCCATAGCAACATTAATGATCTCATAACTAAAGGCTGCAAGATAGAAACTATAAATATAACAGGTTGTTCAATTCTTAGTGTTATATCAAAAAACTAGGAGGACAATGTGTAATTATCAGCCTAAAAAACCTGTTTTGATCAACCTAACGCACAAGAATTAAATTGTCATTAATTTACGATGAGTGTAAGCTATATAAAAATGAATAGTGCATAGATAAACATAAGATTCTAAATAAAAAAAAAGATAACATTCATGTATAAGAAACTTAACCTTCTTTCTTTCATTCAGAATTTCACCCGGCACTTCTAATTGTTCGTCTATCAAAGCAGAATTTTCTGGAAGGCTGACATCTATTCAAATAAAGTAATCATCATAATCGTTAGCCTTTCCTTACCAACTTGAGATCAGTTATTCAATTTAGGTAATCCTCTATTACGGTGAGAAAGTAACAACAAAGGCAATACAAACCACTATTGTTTTCAAACAATCATAAAATCCCATTAACTGTTTATATGCATGAATAAGGCAATGTGAAGGTACCTGACGGACCAGATAAAACCCAGTAAGTTTGTATTGTTGGTTTGTATCTTATGACAAAAGAGCTTAGAGGATGAAAGTTTTATTTATTAATTAATAATACCAAGGTTACATACATCTTCAAGGAACATATTGTCATGATAGTATGTTAAAGATTTAGAAACCCAAACTTAGACCATAAGAGCTTAGCACATTAGCAAATTCTATTTTAATAACAAATAATACCAAGCTTGCATACATCTTCATGAAACAGGACAAGTCTGGACAAGAGAAAAAAATGTAATTTGAAGATTAAAATATCATATTGTCATAGTAAGTTAAAGATTTAGATCCCCAGCGCTGCTGCTCAGACTGTTATCAACTTCCTCAACTTCAATAAAAGCATAAAGTTTACAATCTCCAATTCATGCATGAACCTTCGGAAAGCTTATCTCACAACCATAAGCCATATGCTATGTTTGTTATTCCTAAAACTCTTACCTGTGTCAGCTTCCTCCATAATTAACCATTTGTCATGGTCAACAAAAAGAAAACAAAAATAATGAAATGGGAGAAGACTGATGTAACAAATATTGAAGATAAGAGGATATATGAAAAAAATCAACTCTGATTTGTTGTTATGGTCTACAAAAAGAGGAAAAAATGAATAAATAAAATAAGTGTGGTGTAAGAAATATTGTAGTGACAGGAGGATATGAGAAAAAAAAAATTAACTGACAGGAGGATATGAGAGAGAAAAAAATTAACTCCGATCTGTGTCAATAAAGAGTGTTAGTGTGCCAACAAAAGAACTGTACCAATATACAACTTTTTTATAAATTACCTCTTTAATTAGATATGTCTAGCTAAGAGAATAGTTGGGAAAATAAAGCGACATCTCATACTAGAAATAAAAGAAAGAATGCCCAAGAAGCCCTTCTGAAAAGAGGCATTTATTTAAAGCATAGAGAAAAAAAAAACTAAACGCAAAGTGCCACAGTTGAATTGACAAAAATAACCTTTCAGGGCCTCTGCATGTAATATTTGGTCTGAAGCATCAGTAGTCACCTGAAAATTGACAGAAAAACTTACTAAACATGACTTTCTCAAAATCTTAGAACAATTTCAAATTACTCGCCTCAACCTGAAAGCTACAATGAAATCCATACAAATGATATTTAGAAATTGTTCGCGAATTAAAAAAGGGCCGATGCAATATATCACAATAATGGCCGGCTAAACTTACTGATGGTCTGCGATCTACTAAAGCTGAAGGCTGGGCAGCCTGAGGAAAACATTACATCAAATTATCAAAATTATAAATCAAAAGCATGCACATGACATGATCAAACTTATTGCAAAGAATTAGAACTACTTGCCTCTTCAAAACTAGCGCCAGATACTACAGATACAAACGCTTCATCAGAAATATTTCCATTTGGCCTCTGACATGTGTCCTCAAGCAAAGTAAATTGGCATCCTATAGGATCTGTTATTTTTCTTCTGCCAATATGCACTTCCTTCTTAAAAGTTTCAGATACTGGCGAGTGCATTTTATCCTCAAAATTTAAACTTTTCAAATTCGACAAGCCTGGAATGCAAGCATTCTGAGCAACCATGGAGTCACCATTAAGATGAATAACATCTACTTGTGAACAAGAATGCATTTCCTGGTTTTTACTCAATGAAAAATCTTCCAAATCATCACGTGAAAGCATCAGAAGTTCACCTTCAGTAGCGTTTTGCAAAATGTGCCTTTTCAAGGTTGATATTTTAGCAAGCCTGCCCTGTATGTCAATCAATGGAAAGGAGTTTTTTAAAGCTGATAAATGATCAACTGGATTTGTCATCTCTGAATCAAGCAGCTTAGTCTTCAAGGTCTCTTGCTCCAATTCGGGAATCCCTTTAACACTAATATCATTACAATCAGACTTGGGCTTCTCCAAATCTAGCTTCTGCATTCCACTCTCACTGCTTGGTAAATTTCCTAATCCAGCACCATAGAAAAATTTGCTATTAGAACCAAGTTCCGCAGAACCATCATTCTGCTCATCTCGATCACTTTTATGTGGGAAGAATGGATCAACCTGTTGAATTATCAATGATAAGCGCCCTTTCAAGTTTGGCAGCCCATGAACTTTATTTCTGTTTGCAACAGGTGAAATCTGGCCAATTTGGGGGCTTTCAAACTTATTTTCTATTGCAACAGGGAATGGAAGGCCTCTTGACTTCTCCACATTAACTGGATTAATCTGCAGGGTCTCCCATAAAAATTTTTCTATATCATCATTATTTAATTCCTTATGTTTAGAAAACAGCCTCTCTAATTCATCAATCTCCTTATCGTCATTGGAATCTACAAAAGATGTGGCCACCAAAAAGCGCAAAAAGTAAAGTAGCATGCTTAAAAGGATTAAATGATATATAGAAGCATACCACAAGTGCCTGCATTTCCAGCAAGTCTGCTTTCTGGTTCAATAGTTGGTACATTCTTGATTTGGCGGATTTCTTTAGAACCGGAAGCAAGGGTTAATTCCGTAATACTTGCACCATTGGACTGGGTAGAGTTTTCCATCTGAAAATTACCCGCAGCAACAGACATAGCCGGGAACTTGAACACATATCTCTTCCTGATGAAAAAAACAGAGACATGAAACCAAATGAATCTTGGTTAAATTTTATGGCACTTTAAAGTAATGGGCGCGGTAATAATACTCTGCCTGTATCTGTCTTATAACTAAGGTAATAGTTTTATTTTTTTAAAATTTTATTTTTATGTTTTTTTACAATGACGGTAATAGTTATTCATTTAATAGAATCATACATGCTGTGAAGCTCAACGAATCAATCATAGTCACAAGCACAATGAACAATCGAGAATTTCTTCCATTTTCTTCTGTGTATTGAATACAAGATCAAAAGAAGATGAAACATGAACCTTCATGAAGAAAGATGAAAGCCAAGAATAGTTTGAAAATAAAACTCACAAGAATAATGTCAGAGAAAATGTTGTCATGGATTAACCTTTTCAAACATTAGATTTAAAGTAACTAGAAAAAAATTTACACAATATTCATTTCAGGATGACTTTTCCGTATATTACAGAATAATTATTTAGACATGAACTTTACTTTTGAGTTGGATTATGGAGAGATGCTGAAAAATACAAAGTTGAGGAGCAACAGCATTGCCTATTATGTCAGATAATTTAAGAAAAACATAAAATACCCTTCATGATCAGTATATCCGGGACGACGTCGGCGATCTCCTCTCCCTTGATGTTGACCAAGCTTTGGAGAAGCCTCTCCTTTTAGTTTCATTACTTCTTTTTCCGCATCTGTAATAAAGTTCAAGGTGAAGAAAAAAAATATTCCAAATTCAGAGTGAAATTGCAACAGAGAATAGAATCTCGTTTGTGAGCAGATGTTTACCTTCAAGCATTCTATAAGTCGAAAAGTACTCTACTGGATCGGAGATATGCTCGAGGCAACTATAGTCTATAACTGGCCAAGATTGACTATCTGCACATAATCTATTAAAATAAGTAGGACAATAGATGCTAATGATAGCCATCAGCTGATTTTTTTAGATTATGGACAATAGATGCTAATTATCTGCACAGAACCTTCAACACAAGATCTCTTGGAAAAATCATTTGATTGCCCCATCTGCGATACCTCAACAGTAGTTGCCTTAGCTGAAAAGTTGAAGACATGATCCCCCCTGTGCAAATAAAAGGAGAAATAAAACTAATCGGATCTTCCTAAACCTTGCATCAGCTCATGTTCAAGCATTTCGGAAGTAAAGAGAATGAATCATTGATGAGTGCGTCTTCATACATATAATGACAACTTTTAAAGAATGCTAAACAGATTAATACGCTACTAAACTTTAAAATATCACTGCATATCATAATATATGCATATCATAATATAATTATGATGTGTGAAATGACAAAAAGTAAAATTCATGCGCTATTATTCAATAGAGTGGCCAGGAGACGGAAAATTATAATGTCCAACTAGTCCCAATGTGCATGTTTTTCAAGCATAAATGGTTTTTCTAGTTTATCTTCAAAACTTGTGATTCCAATGCTCATTAATAGAGCACCATTAGAAATATCTGCATTATAATGCTTGTTGTATTATGATTGTTATTAACGTAACGAACAGGGTCCATATACATTAAAAGTCATAGAATCTATGTAAGAGTCTGAATGGTATTATCATTGCTGCAATCTTGTATCTCAAGCATAACCGCTCGATCATTGAAAGAGTATGCCAATATTATTTTTTGCAATGAATATCTGAAATGATAGAATGAAAGATAATAGGAACAAAAAGACTTCAAGCAAGACACAATTCATCAACAGGACTAAAACTAAAACGCAAGGATACAATAGGAGAAATGTTTCATGCAGACTAGTAGGCCAAAGATACCCAAGTGATATGCAACAATTCATCATAAGAAGTGGGCTACCAAACAAACTAGAGAATCACAAAACAGAGAGAAGGGTATTTTTTTACCATTTCTGTGAGTTGAGGAGGCTTTACAGAAAATCAAGAGTGGAAAATCAGTAGGATCTGATGGTATCACAATTGAAGTGTGGAAATATTTAGGAGATTTAGGAGTTTTGTTGGCTTACTAAAATTTTTTAATATTATTTTAAAAACTAAAAAGTTGCCTAAGAAATAGAGGAAGAATATTTTGTTCATTATTTTTAAGATTAAAGGGGATGCCCAGGAGTGCAAATTATTAAGGAATTAAGTTGATATGTCATTTTTTAAAAATATGGGAGATGGTAATTGAACATAGGTTAAGACATGTTACAAAGATTTCTCATAATCAGTTTGGATATGTGTCGGGCATGTCTACTATGGAAGCTAGACATTTATTAAAAGGTTTGATGCTGAAGTACAGAGAGAATAAAAAGGATCTACATATGATTTTTATTGATTTAGAAAAAGCTTACAATAAGGTTCCAAGAAAAGTCATTTGGAGAGTTTTAGAGAAGAAAGATGTTGATATAACTTGTATCCAGGTCATTAAAGATATGTATATTAGAGCTATTACTTGAGTTCGAACAGAAGGAGGATTGACCAAGTATTTTCTTATTCAATTGGATTACATCAGAGATCGGCTTTTAGCCCATATCTTTTTGTTTTAGTTATGGATGCTCTTGCTGGACATTTACATGAGGATGTACCTTGGTGTATGTTTTTTATTGATGATATCCTTCTTGTGGATAAGAATTAAGAGAGAGCTTAAGAAAAACTTGAATCATAAAGGTCTACATTGGAGTCTAAAGGTCTTCGTTTGAGTAGAACCAAAATTGAATACATGAAATGTAATTTTAGTAGTAGTAGCTCTAGTGACAGAGTTGTAACTATGGGTAATCAAATCATTAAAAGATGTGAGCGTTTTAAATATCTCGGGTCTATTGTTCAAAGTGATGGTGTTATTAGTAGAATTCAAGTTGGTTGGTTGAAGTGGACGAATGCATCGGGTCTATTGTGTGATAGAAAAGTACTGCATAGGCAGAAAAGAAAATTTATAAGATTGTGAGACCTACAAAACTTTATAATGCAGAATGTTGGCCTTTAAAAGAGAAGCATAAAACAAAGTTAAGTTTTGTTGAGATGGAATGCATAGGTGGATGAGTGGCTTGACATGTAGAGACAATATATGAAATGGATATATACATGATAGGGTTGGTGTAGCTCAGATCAAGAACAAGATTAGAGGTAGTCATCTTATATGACTGGTAACATTAAACGTCGACCATCTAATGATCCAGCTATGAGAGTAAATCTTTCAAATTCAACTTATGTTAAGAAAAGCTGAGGTAGACCTGAGACATGGGCATATTGTATAAAAAAAGATCTTATATCATTAAAATTAAATGAAAATATGACTCTCAATAGGACGCAATAGAGAAAAAGGAATCATGTAGTTGACCCCACTTAGTGGGATAAAGGCTTGTTGTTTCTGTAGCATTTCTATAAGTTGAATAATTTGAAAAGATCACAATCCTTCTGGGAAAGAGAAGAAAAGAAAATTTTCAATTATAAAAAAACACGACATAGAGTTTGTTTAATTATTTTGTTAAGAATAATATTAAAAGCCGACAGTAGGCATAGAGCAAATAACAACTTGAATATTCAAAAGTTGTTTAATTGGTTGCTTGTTGGGATCGGAAAGCTTGTTTGTCAACAAGTTTATAGGATTTGGTACAGTAACAACACTTATTTGAAGTTCACTACTCCATTGCTACTTCGTTCATGATAACAATTGATTGACAGTGGACAGCGTATTAGAGTTCATTTTTCAATATAAAAGGCATGGGGAGTTGTCACCTCCAATAAGAGTGATGGTGTTAGAAATTTTAAATGAAAAATATTATTTTTATTTTATTTTTATTTGAATTTTTTGGGTATTATCGATGTAATATTTGAATTTTAAGTGTGAAATATGTAATCTATAAAGTTTGGAGTATTGTATATGTAAATCCCCTAAAAAATAAGGTTCAAAAAGGCCAAGTAGACAAGAAAAAAAATCTCAATTAAATTGTGTTTTCATAAGAAATTAAGTATAAGGTTGAAAAAAGAGGATGAAGGGAAGCTCTTTACATGATGGTGTTGACCTCATTTTGAGGTCGTTATTCATTTCATTAGGACCCTAGGATCTAGCTCTAGAGGTTTCTATTGACTATCCTAGAAAAATAATATTGAAATTTATCTCCTTAATAATTCCAGCCACTTCCTATTTCTCTTGTGATGTCTCGCATTGATGATCTCAAAACCATCATCGTATGGTCGAGTGGTTAAGGACTATCATGTGGAGACTCAATGAGAAGTTCCCAATAGGATCTCAAACCCTAGGAAAACCTCTTCGGGAATTTATCATCACACACACACACAAAATACACAAAATTCACTAAATCGCACAAGATCGGACTAAAGTTGAACCTAAAGGATGGGTGAAAATGCAAACTTCTACGGACGGCCTCCGATGAAGAAATGGACTACGCGAACGCGTCCGGGACATCAATTTTAGCTAGAAAAGACACTCATATTGCTATAATTTCCGGACACAAGAAAATTGCACGCAGATCGATGAATTCGTCAAAACGATCTTCGACGACGAAACGGACTACGCCAACGCGTCCGGAACGTCAGAATTACCTAAAAATGACATCCATTTTGTTATGTTTTGACGCACGAATAAAAAGGTACGAATCAATTTTTTATTTTTAAGAAATATTAAATATTTTATATATTTATATTACTGATTATAATATTAATTATAGCCCTAAACCCTTTTTCCCCTTTTCCCCTTTTCCCGCACACTTAAACTCTTCATTCAACCCTTGCGGCTCGGTCAGGTGTTCGGCTCGCCCTCTCCCTTTCGTGCCCTAGATCTTGTGGCTCATCCACGCGGCGATCCTCCCCTTCCTTCTCTTTCTTTGTGTGGCCGCTCGACCTTTCGGCTCTCTAATTGCGGCGGGCTGGCCGCCCCTTCTCCTTCTCGAAGCTTTACCGTCTCCTTCTTTATTGTGGCGATTCTTTCTTTGTCACTTGATTCGACCACAAAAATGGTGATAAATGTGGTTGTCCCCTCTCATTTCTGCCTATAAAAAAACTTACTAAAGTACTGTTTTGCGTTGTTGAAAATTTTCTGAGAGAAGGGAGGGTTGAGGTTTTAGCTAGTTGTTGTTTGAGGCTTTTAGGAGGAGAGGGCTCTGCCGAAGTTACTTATTTGCTAGGTCCTTGTATGCTGGGTGTTTGGAAGCTTGGTGGCTTTCTTTTGTTTTCTTTTAGGAAATCTCAAGCAAGGTATTTATCCCTTCTCTTCTCTGTTCTGTTGCCCTGCTCGACACTTATTGGAGATGTTAAAATAGGGAATGCATACATGAGGCCTTGTTTTATCTTAACTGGTATTTCGTAATGGCATTGATATCATGTATTGGGCCTTTAATACTTTTATTGGATCTAATTTAGAAGTTCTATGTTGATTAGTTGAAATAGCAGTTAGGGAAAGCATGTTTGGATCCATTGTCACATGCAAATCTTCTTCTTACGCTTCTATTATTTCTATATTTGTATGCTGAAAGCTGTAGCCTTCTTTCTTTTCACCCTGCTAAATTAATTTATTGTTAAAGGAAGAGTAATTTTAGGGGAAAGGATTGCTTGTATTTCTTTTCTGCTCGAAATGTTTGGGAAGGCACAGTTATGAACTCTAAAATGATATTTTCTCATCTAGAATTCATGCTAAAAATGAAATATTGATGCTTTTTATTAATATTGATGCTTTTTATTATTGTTCTTTTTATTATTGTTATTCCTGTCCAGATAAATGCTGAAAGTTCTGTACTGATTTTCCCCATTTGGTTGGTTCGGTTTTGGCTCCTTCTAAGCTGGATTTTAGCTGAAAGTTCTGTAGGGTTTTGCCCCTGTCCTGGGCTCGATTTTGCCTTGAAATTGTTCTGTTTTTCCCCTTTCCTGGGCTCGGTTTAGCCTGAGATTTGGGTTCGATTTTGCCTTGAAATGGTTCAATTTTTGCCCCTTGTGCTAAACCTGATTTTGTCTCGTGACGGCTAAGTTTTATTTACCTATTGGGTTAGGCCATACGTTTCGGTTGGCCCTGTGTTGAACATATTTGAGGCATGTTTTTTTTGTTGTTTTCTTTGATGCCTTTTACGATTGGAATACATAAACAGCTGA